AGCTCTTTTCCTCTGCAGTCTCTAGAGCCAAACTACTAGCCCAGGCTAAGCCTGGGCCTGGTAAGCCTAGACCCTGGGCTTATATGTTCCCTAAGCCCTTCCCAGGTGATTCCACATCCACACTTAGGAATATTTATTCTGAGCCTAATGGCTTGCCTGTCTTTTCTTGCTTCTGCTTAGCTACAGTTCGCAGACCTTTGCCCCTGAGCAGTCTGGCTGTTTGCCTCCCTATGCCTCTTACTACTGGCATCTAGCTACAAGTCTGCTAGCAGTTAGCTTGCTCTTTAGCTGCTAGCCCTTCATGAGCCAGTTTACCCTGTTGTAGCTTCCTCTTAAAGTAACAGGAGACTTCTAGCTCCCTGTTACAGCCTCTAAGAGCATTTGATTTTCAGAAATGAGATACCTAGTTCCTAAGGTTCATTCTCTACTTGGTCTAATTTTTTTGAGAGCCAAAACAAACTTGATTTGCCACACACATTACTGCTCATGTACTTCATTAACCATACTTTAAAACTTTTCTTTATAAACTTTGTAATATTTTCCATGCATCTCTTTTACCAGATTAAAGAAAGCTTTCCCCCTATTTTTTTCTTTAAGAGGTAGAAGTATAATTATTTCTCAAATTTCAGAATGTTAGTTTCTGGTTAGAGATTTAAATCTTCTGTAGCTGCTATTAAAAGGGTGAACTTGGAAAAAAGTTGTTTCATAATGACACATAAGAATAGGGTTTTTTAAAGTATTTTGTAGACTAGTCAGTAAATATGATGATGACTGGCAAATGTCAATCAGGTGTCATCCTTAAAATGACAGGTTCTCTCATCAACTGTTGTAAATTTTTAAGGTTATTGGAGCAATACTAATTTCCTCAGTTTATCTAAGTTGAGGATCTGGCTCAATAATGTAAAATCCTTAAAACGGAGCCTTATTCTCAGCACCAACCTTCTGGTCTTTCATAGCATTCCTCCTTCTGGTAAAGTGAAAACTGATCTCCCAACAAGGTGGCCTGTAGGTCAGGGAGCTGTAGCTTACTTTTACTTCCCACTGCAGTTCTGAGGAAAGCAAAATTTCAGTTGTTAAAAGAAGAGGGAGATTAAGCAGGAGGTAGAGCTTATGTTGTTCACTGGAAAATGGTGGGAGGAAGCAAAGGGTGTTTCTGAAGTCTGTGACCAAGTACAGACAGTCAAAAAGCCCAAGGCTGAGTCAATTCAATTTTTGAAGGTTAGCCTAAGCTGTGTAGATTGAACAGATAAGCAAGGGAACAGACATTGACTTTTGATTCCAGAAATGAAGACACATGCCTGCAATGGGCAAGGCCAGAAGCTGGGAGGTGCTATTGGCTGAAGCAGGCAGTTTGGGCCAAAGCTAGCCTGTCCATCCTATCTGGGGAGGGGAGTTTGCAGGGAAGGTGCAAAGCATCCTGGGATGCTGGGGGTCTGTAAATTAACTTCAATCTGGTGTAGATCCTGGGACAGAAGTTCAATAAACCAATTTAACCTAAATCAGTTAAGTCTGATACTACATCTATCCAGGTTTATCTTAAACTGGTTTCAGTCATTTTGCAAGTGGTTTATGTGCACTGAACTTCTGCTATGTTACAGATTTGAACCAGTTTACAATCACTTATATTGGTTTATGTGTAATTTCTGTCCCTAGCCTGTAAGATTTGGATGCGAGCCAGGTACCTTAAAGAGGAGCTGCTTGGCTCAGTGAATACTGACCCCTGGCACATGACAAAGATATAACTTATTTCAGAACTGATTTTTCTCATGTAACTAAAATGAGGAAATCAAAAATAATCTCACACAAGCATTCCCATGTCACTCTGCATTTTGCTATGGAGTCTAAAGTTTGGATTAATTCAGATAAGGTCATAAACTTTAGGATGCACATGAGAATGGAATCTCCAAACCTTTGGAAGTCTGCCAGTAGCTAATCCAGACAGGGCTATTATAAAAAGAAAAATTATACCAGATTTGTTTTGCTGTTCTATGATCTATTGTCCACTGAATTAAATTAAAGAACCAAATTAATATCCTGACAGTTTGTACATGGTTGTACTTCATTCTTGTTTTCTTTGGTTTGATATATTCAGTGGGCTTCTCAGAAATGAAGCTTTATTCATATCTTAGTTAATTCAAGGGGTCAACGACTACTTCTTCTTACATTTTCCTGTTTCTTTTAATCTTTGCCTATTGGACTAACATAAATTCCATTCCTACTCTCTATTAAAACAATATGCTTAAGATTGTACATAGGGATCCACACAGTCAGATTTCCCAGTATGGCTGCTGTACACTTATTTGCATGGGAAACTGAACAGCAAACCCATACTGACCTACACAGACAGCTGCTGTTAAACCAGCTGCCATTTTCTCCTCTTATGCAGAATCACAGCTGGGTCCTGTTATGAAAAGAGAGCACATCATAATTGCACCAAACATACATTATATTCCTGTACAGAACGATGCTGTCACTCATTATAAAATTTATATCCTGGAGAATTTAACCAGCTCTTCAAAACAGTTCGGGCTGAATTTCTCAACAGAGAGACTTTTTTTTCCTAGAAGTAAATTTTATATGTATTGCTCAGAAATGGACCAAGTCTACTGAAACTTAAAAGCACTGTCTTTTCATAATTTTGATAAATATATTGAGCGCAAATCCTATAGTTATCATGCTGGAGCAGAATCTGGGCCAGGCATAAATCATTACTATAAGTTTGGAAGGGAAAGAACCTTTCCTCAGGCCAGCCTACAGAACTGCAGCAGAGACCTTATATTCCAACCTTTGTTCAGGCCTGCCTCAAAACTCATTGAAGTCAAAGAACCAGTCTATTGCCTTCAATGGGCTTTGGATTGGTTCCACAGTGCCTTTAGATTTTGTCCTGTCTCCAGAGGTGAAAAGGAAATGAAAGCTAAGACTACCTAGCTGTAGTTTTTTCTCATTGTATTGGGTGGGATAAACTATCTTTGAAATGAAGTTCTGTGGCATAAGCAGTTACGTGATTAAACCCTCTTTGCTCTGGGAGGAGTTTTGTTTCTCCACTATGATCTTCTAATCATCTCTGACTTTGGATTACTCTTTTTCAAATTCCAGGGAAGCTCACAGTGTATTTCTTTCATCCAGGAAAACCAAAAATATCATGGTCTTCCTCTTTGTCCTAGTGTCCTATTCTAGACTTGTCTTGTAACATTATTATCTAGTTTAATATCAGAAATTATAGAATCATAGAAAATTAGGGTTGGAAGGGACCTCAGGAGGTCATCTAGTCCAACCTCCTGCTTAAATCAGGACCATCCCTAACTGTTTCATTCCAGCCAAGGCTTGGTCTAGCCAGGTCTGACAAACTTCCAAGGATGAAGATTCCACAGCTTCTCTGCGTAACCTGTTCCAGTGCTTTACTACCCTTCTAGTGAGAAAGTTAGTAAAGCACTGGAAATTGGTCAAACCGTTCCTATTTCTTTTCTTTAAAAGTAGCAGTGATGATTTTCTTATGTTCTTTTATATAGCTCTTTATTTCGTTATTTGGTCATACCATTTAATGTCTACAATTTTACATGGATGTTTATCTTTAAAGAACTGCAGTTTCTCTCTCACAATTTGTGTATTTATTCTTGTTTCCAACCCATTTAATAAACTTGCTTTCATATTTTTGTTGAATAACTAAAGTTTCTCAGTCAAATTTATCATGATTTCCAAACTCTTGGATCTCTTCATCAGACATCAGAGTAGCACACAACACTTCCAACTGAAGTTAAGTTTTTCACCTCTTCTGCATATGTACTGTTCACTTTTCCATAGCTTGGTCCCATTTATTCTCATTGTTTTTGTATTAGGGCCACTTAGAGGGTGTGTCTACATGTGCCTTTACATGTGCCTAAACTTAATGTGCATTTGCTTAATGCACATTAAAGTGATTTAGGCATGCATCTACATGTGGGTGTGAAGACCGACTTGGGACTAAAGTTAGTCCCAAGTCAATGGACACAAACCATGTAAATATGCATTAGCATGTCAGTTTTTTTGAGTACATGTTTTTTTTTAGTACAACTGAGTAGTTGGAAAAAAGGTCTTAGCAAGCTTTAGGGTGTAAACACTTTTCCTCAGGCATAGGGAGTCTCTGCTGTTCCAAGACTCCAAGGAATGAGAAAAGTGAAAAGTGTAGCAGAATGTCAGTGAGAATGTAAATAGGTGAAAACTAGAAAGATAAAAGGTAAAGGGCGGGGGGGAAGCAGGGGGCAGGGGAAGACCAAAGGGATAGTAATGCAAGGTAAAATAAGAGGCTATCAGTGAAAAATGAAATAGCTGAAAATTATGAAAACAAAGAAAAATAGGGGAAGGAAGGGGAGAAAATGTGGGTGAAAAGAAGAATGTAAGAGGTCAGGTCTGGCAGTAGCTGGTGAATCAGATGTCAGGCAGGTTGTACTGTGTCATAAATCTAATGTCAATATTGAGTCCATGATTTTTTGTATCCAATAGATTTATAAAGTGAAGTTCATAGGCTCATCTATGAAAGGTGTTTTGTAAGTTCCCTTTGAGGATTAGAACTGAGGGTTTGTAGAGGTAATGTGGGGGCACACTTCTCACAGCACAATCATGTAGTTGGGTACACATTTTTTTATTTGATGGATTTTTGGTGTGCATTCATTCTGGTATGCAGTTGTTTGTTTCTCCTACATATTTTCCATCAGGGCATTTGGTACACTGGATGAGATATATAACATTTCTGGAGGTGCAGGTATAAGATCCAGGAATGGTGATGGTTCTGTTGTGGGATGTAGTTATTGTGAGGGTGGTGGAGATGTGTTGGCAGGTTTTGCATTTCTTGTCCTGGCATGGTCTGAATCCATTAGGTGTGTCAAACCACACAACACACCTAATGGATCCAAAGTGTCTAATGGAGACATCTAATGGAGTGTCTCCCTTTGGCCTTTTTTCCCCCCCCTGCTTCCCCTGCCTCCACTTCCCTGCTTTACCTTTTGTCTTTCTAATTTCTACCTATTTACATTCTCATTGACATCCTGCCACACTTTTAGCTTCTCTCATTCCTTGGAGTCTCAGAACAGCAGAGAAGAAGGGTGAAAAAGGGTGTTTATTTATGCCTGAAGAAGGGTGTCTGTGCCTGAAAGCTTGCTAAGAACTTTTTCACAACTACTCAGTTGGTCTAATAAAAGATATCATGTCCACTCAAAAAACCTTGCCTGTCTATGTCCTTAGATCAACATGGCTACAACCAAAAACTCAATACAGTATCTACATGTTTGCTAATGGGATTTAGCTATTCACACCTAAATTTCATACCTACTTTATGTTTTATGCAGGACAAATTTAGGTGCAAAGAACATTTTTACACATGCTGTGGGGCACTGCACCGGACACTGTAATTAGCAAGCAGCGCTAATTAAAAGTACCTGTGCATCATATGTATCAGTGTTGTCACATGTCCCCATGCTGCAAAAGCAGTGGTAGGGCACTTTGAATGAAACACTTTTGATGAGCTTTAGTTCAAAGTGCCCTGTTGCCATTTTTTCAGTGCAGAAACTCAGAACGAGGATGATACACGTGACCCTGGTAGACTGCTGGAGTACACCAATTTTCATGCTCCAGCAGACTTGATTAATTGAGTCTGCTCCAATGCATTGGATTTCCAGAATGTTGGAGGTGGCTCCACACACATGTATAGGAGCCCAAATTTGCCATTTTTAAGGTGTATTAAGGGCTTGTATGTGTAGATGTGTTTCCTTAATGAGCCCTAAATTGGGCTAAAGTGCCTTAAATTGGCACGTATAGACATGCTCATAAAATAAAAATAAAGATTTCCCTTCCATCTTTTAGTCTTCTCAGTCAGCATGTGAAGTCTGTGAGCCATAAGCCAGGTATCATCTGCAAAGTCTAGATGTTCTAAACATTCATGTGATTGCAAATGCATTCCTTTCTTCTCATTTCCACTTGCATTTCTCATTGACTGGTCAGAATCTTTACATTCATACAGTATTGACTTCATATTTTCTGTTTATAGATAATTTCAAGGTAGCTATATGGAAGCAAATATAACTACTTTTTCTAGAAACTATGCTGACAATTCTTAGATTGGATATCTGTTGCTTATATTATCTTCACTAAGGATGGAAATGGATGTCATCTGATGTTGCCATTACTGGGAGACATTTGGCTGGGATGATCTACTTAGGGATGGCCCTTCTTTGAGCAGGGGGTTGGACTAGATAACCTCCTGAGGTCCCTTCCAACCCTAATTTTCTATGATTGTATGCCTGATTTGTGCTGCTTTAACATTTTTAAGGTGGCACAAATGCTGCACAAATAAATATCCTTACTTTTTGTTGTGCCACATGACAGTAAAATCAATGGTGCAACAAAAATTAGTAATAGACTCTGCTGCTTTACTGTGGCCAATGTCTATTACCTTTGTGGCAATTTCCCTGCTCAGCCAGCTTGGTGGGGCTGTAGGGTTGGCTGGGCAGGAAACCCCCCTGAGCAGGGAAAACCCTACATCCCCACTTTTTGGGGAAAGTGGGGAGATCATATCACCCCTTGTCCCATACCTGTGGATAAGGGGTAGCATGTTTTGCATAGTGAAGTGAATCAACTGTGTGGTGGCACAGCTGATCATTGGGCGACATCTATTTCTAGCCTATCATTCTTCTTAAGAATTTGCTTGATATGGAGAACAGCGTAGCATCTTTCTTATTATATTGCAAAATACTGCCTTTCTTGGGGAAATTTAACTAAGATACCATCTTTCTGTTCACAGAGATTTTCCTTTTTCTAAATAATTTGATACAGGTTATAGAATTTGAATCTCTTACCTTTAACATTTTGGCTGGGATTCCCTTTGTCCTGCGTCTCTTTTGCATTTTTAAGGTTTTAACGTTTCATTATTTCTTCTGAGCTTAGTTTTAGATGACAGTCCACACAGCAGGTCTATGACTGATGTCTCTAGGCTTTTCTATTTAAATCACCTTCAAAATGAAAGTTCCACCTTTTAAAAAGGTTCTGGTTTAGTAATCATGTTCCATTTTCATCCTGAAGTAGCTTGTTTCAATTGGGTTTTCTCTCCCTCTTAGCTGCATTGTAATTTGGTAAACTGTCTTCACGTCTTTTTCTTGGCAGCAGTTTTGACTCATTGGGCCAGGTCATTCACGATTTCTTTTTTCCTTTTCTGTATTTTGATATTTCACATTGTATTCATGCTGTCTCTGGGTTTTTTCATTACTTGTTTTGGCTCTACTGAAAAACACCTTGGCTTTTTTCCTTTCTTTAGCTAGTTGCCAAGCCTCACAGGAAATGCCTCTTTTCTTTTGCTAGAATTTCATTGCAGGTTTCTTTCTGTTTCTTTCACACTGTATCTATCATCAACCCTTCTTTTATCTCTTTCACAATGGATTCTGAAACAATGTTTTTAGTTAGGCCTTACAATTTCCTCACATTGTATCTTTTCTGTTTTCCAACATTATTTTTTAAGGTTGCTAACTTAATTCTAAAGACATCTTTAAGCAAAGAGTTGTCACATGCAACATAAATAGTTGTTTGTTTGTTTTTACTCTGGATTGCAGTATGATTATTTTGGTTCATTATTTTTGCATCTTGGAATGCCTGACTAATGCTAGAATTCATCTAGGATGTTTTTTGTAATAATATTCTTTGGGAATATACTTCCCTCAGTCACCAGATTTTTGGAGCACAGCAATCCATGAACATTTCCCTGCATTAATTCAAACACCATGTGTGCTCAATGATTTTTCTAGCAGTGTTTTGGCTCCCATTGTGAACATTGAAGTCTACTGTTATTATTAGCATATCCATTTTTGATACTTTGCTCTTGATAGACTGAGTTTATTACAGTCAGAGTGATGTTGTAGCCATGATGGTCTAAAAAACCTTACTTGTTTTTATTACAGAAGTCATCTATCACATCTTTTCTCCAGGAGTATGTGGACTCACAAAATCCTGTTTTCTATCCTATATAAGGAAATTGGAACAGGAACTTACGTGTTACAAGAATGATCAGGATGCTGGACTATGTAAAAATCCTAACAGAAAGATACTTTTCAACCTATCTGAAAATTAGTGACAGACCGTCCAGTCTTGAAATGTTACAATGGAACAGACTTATGGAAATTAAATCTGATGCCAGTGAATTTTGATTAGGACCAGCATTATTCTAAAACAGCAGCTTCTGAAGAATTTTTCCTATATACATTAGTATGTATAAAGAGAAAAGAATATTTATTTGTTGTTTTTGCATGTGTTAAGTTAGGTCATAATCACATTTATATAGACATAGACCACAAACTTTCGGAATAAATCTTCCCAAAGATCAGTTTTAAAACAGCTTCAAAGAATTTTATTATACATATTCTACCTGGAAGAATAGTGCCACATACAAAAGTATCCACTGTGACCCTTGAAATCTTCAACATACACAGAGAAGGATAAGTTTAAAAATACTGAATACATCAACTGTATAACTTCTTCATGTAATTCATAGATTGTAAGGTAGGAAGCATGAGTGACTGGTGCCTCCTGAATCTGGGGGAGACACCCGCAGAAGCTGCCAACAGCAGTGGCCCTGTCAGGGAGGGCACCAACCCTATTGACAGCATCAGTGTTGACTAGGCTGGTGCCCCCCCAAAAGGCCATGGGGGGCATGTGCACCCCTGTGCACCCCCTCCCAGTTGCCTGTGGCTGGAAGGGACCTCAGAAGATAATCGGGTCCAGCCCCCTGCACCAAGCAGGAAAGGCAATTTATGCAGTCACCAAAACAGATACTGTGCTTACAAGATGATGAAGACACATCATATCAGGATTGCCAGATAAGTAGAAAGGAAGTTTGGGGTACTACACAAACACGGAAAAAAAAATGATGTTCTTGATAAAGGAAATCAGAATCTGCTTCTTAAAAGCATGTTAGCCTTCACTCACAGGAGCCTTAATTTGCTGAAACTTTTACACAAGATCAGAAAGGTCCTGCAATGGACAAACATGAGCAACAAGGGTAAAGATTTTATAAGGCAATGAAGTATTTTTAGCAAATTAACAAAGAATTAACAACATTCATGATGGACAAGGAAACCAAATTGGCCACGGCTGATTATAAAACTGGGTTACTGGGAAATGCATCCCTTACACACATCAACAGCTACCTCTCTTACAGTATGTTGCAAAGCTCTGTTTGCCCCACATGGAATTCCAAAGATTTTTTTTAGCATATTAAAGACTTTGATTTGCTTTTCACAATTCTCTTTTTCCATCATAGAAACTGAACAAATAGGACTGTTTTTACTGTATATTTTTAGTTAGTTAATAAATTATGTGCTGGGTAATGGTGCCTAAGAATATGCAGCATTATTTCTATGTTTTGTAGGACAGTAAAAGTTACAAGTTGCAAGTAACCTCTGATGTGTAACTCTAAATCAACTTTTAATATTTTGTACCTCTAGAATGAAGCATGGTGATGAATTAGGATGTATCCAAAGCCCTAGACTAGACTAGATAATGTTGTTGCACACTATATTTATACTCCAAATCAGCCAGACTATCTAGACTATTCAGTAGCTTTCACTTTGATTCTGTAATGACAGTTTTCACCAGTACTGTTATATACGCATTAAAAAAAAATGTTTTTGTTATCATGAGATCGATTACTCATTCTGATGAAATACTTCAATTGTTGTTAAAAGCTATAACAAAATTTAGTTTGGGGCCTGCTGCAGAAAATAGCAAAGGAGTTTACCGTCTGCTTCAGTCACTCTAATGAGAATCTGTTCATGATGGAAAGTTGCTCAGTGGCAACTGGACATAGCCTTTTTGTATAGATGCATTGTCTAAAACTCATTGCTTTCATGATGTTTGTGGCTACCTACGACTCATGAACACAATGTAAGATAAACAGTTTGAAGAAAAATATAGGCATTTTCATGCTATTGATTTCTCCTTCTGTGGAAACTTGCTATCTGCTATTGCTTGGCACAAGGGCACAAATAGGCTGCAAAAAATCACAGGGTTACACCAAGTTCTTTGTATAATGTCTTTTATGTGTAATAGTGATTTCAAGTTCAGGTATAAACTAATACAAGCTAGTGGAAATGTCATAATAAAATCCCAGCCAAAGGTTTTAAAACTACTTAAATGTAAACAATTATTGCATCTGTGCTTTCAGTAACATATCAAATGTCAATTTGCACACACACGCGCACAATCCATCTCAATATTTTTGAAACTCATTTGCAAGGGTAAAAAAAAATCAACACTGAGTATGGATAGCATAATCTGGCCCTCAATGTAGAGTCAAGAGAAGCTGTCTGCAGTTTTCCCACAGGGATTCTGTTAGATCAGGTCCTATTTTATATCTTATTTAATAACTTAGTCCATTTCCAAGTAGCTTGCCAGTGGAATTGGAAGATGTTGACATGTTGTGAAGACCTCTTGGAACAAAGTAAACGTACAATTATGAATGTGCTTGTATTGACAGGGAGATGGCTTAGATGATATTTGGTTTCTTCTACTTCTGTTATCTGAACTGATGATTGAAAGTACAGTTTTGGATAAAATTACTACTGTAACCTTAACACAACCTGTTGAATTGCAGAAATCTCAGAACAGAGTGTGCTCTCTCATATGGTACAATATGTTCAGCAATTTTACTTTACAATATGAAGAGCTAATAGCGGAATTATTCTAAACTCCGAATACTCTTGCTTTGTTGGTTTAAATCAGACCGTTAACACTTTAAATGTGGGCATTTTGGTATCTAATTAGTCCATATATTACTAGTATTATTAAGACTATGCTGCCTGCATACTGATTTCTATCTGCAACATTTGTACTGTTCTATGTTTAATGTAATACAGTTAAGATCTTGTTTTGAAATCTATTTCTTGTTCCTTATGGATTGGTATAAAAATGATGCGTCATATCTTATGTTTGGATAAACAAGTAATCATGGATCTTGATAATACTAATGAAAAATGTGAATTGTATTATTCCCAATAATATAACATTTTAAATAAAATAAGAATCATTTTTAGCAGGTATTAGTTCAGTCAAATTTAATCAAGATTTTAGTAATTGTAGCCTAAGCAACCATCAAAACACCAAACCCACATGATATAGTGCATTTGTTTATATGACATGTATAGAAGATTTCATAGAATTTTGATTTAGGGAAGAACTAGAATTCATCTGCCTCTGAGGTTCATAGTTTAAAAGAAGAAATGAGGATGCCCATTTGGCCCCTGTTGGGGGGCTGTACCCCTTGTGAGAGTGCTGATCCCCCTTTTGGGGGGCTGAACCCCTTGTGTAGGGGCCGAACCCTGTGTTGGGGAGACAAAGCCCTTGTGTGGGGGACAGCAAAATATGAATTCATGAAACCTGTGTTTAGAGTTCACTCTATTATTATAAGAGACTTGCTTTAACATTGTAGATATATCAATAAAACATTGTCCAACTGATCACTGTCTCTGTCCCATTCTCTCTTTATAGTGGTCTTTTGTTTTACTTGTGGAGGAGCATGGATTTGGGGGTATTTTAGAAAACGATTTTGGGATTTTTTTTTTTTAAATCAGGGATTTTTCAGTTTTCCAATAGGGAACACCAGAATTCCTGCTTGGGAGGCCAGTGGCAGGACCCTGCCTGCTCAGAGCTGGCGCCTTGGACCCATTTGGCTGTGGCTGAACGTCCTGGCCAAATGGGGCCAGGAGGACATGCTTTGACCGTTCAAAGCAGACTACTACACCCAGAACATCTTCTGGGGGATAGCTGCCCAGATGGCTGGGCAGGGGGCACACATGGCAGTAGTGCCGCACAAAGGCCAACCTTGTAACTGCAGTCCACTGGCAGCTGGCCCAGAGGGGCACATCCCTCTACTGGCTGTGCAGTCCCCATCTGGGTCTGGCAGGTGCAC